TAAACAAAATAAAATAAATTAGTATTGGCAATTTATATATAATAGAAAAAGCGTATATTTTACAAAAATAACTTTAATTATTGTATTATTAATAAAATTATAAATCAAATAATATTAAATTATAATATACAAATTAAAATTGTTAAATATTCTATGATCGAATTTATGTAATATTTGTGGAATAAATACCGCAAGCCGGGATAAAGTTGGATAAAAGTTTTTGAAATTTTTCCACAATAAACATTACACAAATCTATTGAATTACAATATATAATCCATCTCTAATTCTTTTACTTTAGACATAAAATACTATTTTATAAATTAAATAACATTTTTTATTTTTTCAAATTTGCACTGATCCAAGATATGTAACTGGAAACTCTTGCGTAAACGTCTGGAGCTCCAAGTGCGCAGGGAGTACCAAAGGAAACGATTCCAATTTGAACTCCATTAGCCACCAATGGTCCACCAGAATCACCCTGGAATAAAGATGCAATTAATAATAAAAATATTTATATACTAAGAAATTGTTTACTACAAATGATAATTATAATCATTTTAGAGTTAAGGTGAAATTGTAATCATATAAAGAAAAGACGATTAAACTCAATATTATAATTTTCAAACTATAATGATTCATTGTTAATATTTAACATTATTTATTATTTTATTGTTATCAAAAATATATCATCAATACATATATAATAATGTATATGTATCGATTTGTTCTATGATATTAATAGTCATTGGCTTACGTAGCATGCTCCTTCTCCTTCTTTAGTCAAAGTGCAGATATGGCTATCTCTCACTTTCGGTTGTGCTGTCTTGCAATCTTCTTGCGGATAAACTATTAATTCAATTTCTTGCAAGTTATTTGGTTTCTTTCCATCAACCTAAAAAAGATTGCATTGTTACATTGATAATCAAAGCAACTTTTATGTGACAATTAATAAGCGAATTATTATTATCAAAATGCCTTCTTATTCATTACTTTTAAAGTGTTTTTACATATATAAAGAAAAAATAGTTAGTTTTTCTAAAAGAAAATGTCTGTTCTTAGATATGTATAACTGAAAAATTTCTATATCATAAGTTCAATATTACCGAAGTAATTCCCCAACCAGATAATGTGCACGGCTTGCCCTCGAGTTCTTTATCGGATGTAACAAGATTTATCGGTTGCACTAATCTGTTGTACGTGATAGGATTTTTAAGGTGAATCAAACCAACATCATTAATGATTGAAGTTTCGTCGTATTGAGAGTTGAAGATTACACTTTCTACATCATAAACTGCTCCAGGTACATCCAAAAAGTTTGTGCCAGCATGGACTTTTAGATAAGTCAGATAATAATCATCGAAACTGAGACTAAAAAATATAATGCATATATAATACTTGGATATTTAGAGTTGTTGAAAATAAATGTCGAAAATGTTTGCTATAAGTTATGAGAATGTTAACAGAAATAATGTAAAGTATTAATTATAAATCATTCTTAAAATAAAAATTCACATTTTATCTAAAAAAAATGTCAAACAAATAATGATGCATTTTACGATTATAATTAATTATAAAAAATACTTTGCTGATTAAAATGTTAAAAGACTAGTTAAAATTAAAATGTTAAAAGAATAATTAAAATTAAATTCTATTAAATATATATTGTTACAAATTCAAAATATTTAACTTACTCTTTAAGACAATGTGCTGCGGTTAATATGTTATATTTATCAAGAATAGATCCACCACACATGTGGGCGCCATTGAATTGCAATGACACTTGATACGGAAATTTGCCAATTGGAGCATCCTTCCCGCCGACGATATGAGGAGCTCCTTATTAATAAAAATGAATTAATTATGTTAATATATACATGTTAATAATGTTTCAAAAAATAATTGATTATGTTAATATGCACACGCAATAATAAGTTATATTATCACACACACACACACACACACACACACGCGCGCGCGCGCACACATCTTTAAGAAATAACAAACATCGTGTTAATTTTATGACTAATGAGCTATTCAAGTAAATTTCTTAAAAATACAATTTTTTTGTTTACCATAAGTTTTATTAATCGCGACACAATAATTTTAATGTTAAAATATACGTATTTTGAGAATATTCGGAAATACATGTATTCTCCTAAATTAGTTTATATAATTTAATTAATCAATAGTGAAACTATTAATAAGTATTAGAAATAGATAAAAGTATTTTATACATATAATTTTTTTTCTAGAAAATTGTATAATTTTTTTTAATATTTAATTTTTATAAATATAGAGTATAGCAATATTTACTGAATCTGTGATTATTTAACGGACGCTTAAGTTATTATTAAGAACTTTGTGCATATATAAGGTAAGTGTGACAAACGTATATCTCAGAAACAAAACGTTTTACAGAACAATATTTCACAAAAGTTGTTTGATTTTGACTAATGCATAATTGTATCATTGGTTTGATCTTAAATGGCGCAGTCAAGTTCAGGGAAAAGTCACTTTAAATTTTTTAAAAGAAACTCCTCATGTTGCCATATTATAAAAGACGTTACAAAGACATTTTTTTAAAACATATATATCTAAAAAAATATCTAAAAGACATTATAAAAATGTCTTTAGACAATGTACATTGTCTAAATTTCTCATTCTCTTTTTTTGTATTAAAATATTTATAATTTATGAATTCTTACCTTCAATGCCGTATACCAGAGCGGTAAATATAAGACAAACTAACGCACGCATCTTGCTGATTTGTTACCTGGGATTAAAATGAAGAGATGCAGTCACAGGTTATATATATACTAAAGTAGTTAAAATCTTGAATCAAAGATATAAATCACGTGCTTATGACACTTTCCTGAATTTTTTTCAGTATTGTACTATGAAATATTATTTGTAGTTTACATTATGCACTTGTTGATTGATAAAGATAATAGTTTTAATTAAATTTGTAATTTTCATTATCTTCACTTTTCTTAAAAGAATGGGAATTTACGTGTGTTTATCTGATATTGTACAAAACCTCATCATAGTTATTTTATTTTTATATCGATTACTATATCTAATATTTTACAATGTTATCAATAGATTGTGTATCGCATTTTTAGTAGCTTAGTTAGTTAATATCTTATAATATAGAAATTATACATTCGCCTGATCAAATTGAACAAATTTTTATACAATAAATAAGAAAAAAATAAAAATATAGATCATAGACTTAAATAATTTAAAATTAAAATAATAAGCAATTAAAAGGGTTACGAGTCAAGCTGGATTTGTTACTAAAATATTAATTTTAATCTGTTAATATTATTTAGTACATAATGTATTTTAACCCGTTATCGAAACATTCTCAATGTGAACAAATTAAAATATTTACATTTTAGTATATAATTGATATATTATAATTCATATAAAGCATTAATTTTATTAAGCTATAGTTTTAAAATATTGAAACAGACCAGAATAAAGAAAATGTTGTCACTTAACATCAAATAAATTATAAAAAAGAAAATTTTAGTGACACAAATCAGTAATTTATCTGGTTTTATCTTATTACTCGATAATATGTTTTTGGATCCAATTCTTAAAAAAGAACACTCTAGAATATATCGCCGTTCGACAACACATGTTATACCAACAGAAATGATACAAATTTGAACATCGTTAGAAACAAGAGGACCACGCAAATCTCCTTGAAAATTTAATAAATACTACTTTTAATTATTTATTATAAATCAAAATTTCATTTAGTTTAATTCATGTCTTACACTTAATTATCGTTAAATGTCTGTAAAATTCTGATATTATCACTTATTTTAGTCTTATATTTCAAATTTTTACTTTTTTAGATTATATTTAATAATATATAAATTTAATAAATAATTTTAAAATTTATAATTTTATATATCGTTTATAAATAAAGTCGCAAATTAATATTATCTTTTATTAGATATTTTTAGTGTAGAATACTATACGTGTGCTTTAGAATACGGTCTATTTGATTCTACGGATGCTTTGAAGCATTTTTTTGGTCAATTAGTAAAATTCTTCTGATTGGTCAATTAAAAATTTCGAAGCATTTGTAGCGTCAAATGAATGGCACCGTCATGCCTGTTTCACACTACTGGAGGCTTAGAATTGCAAATTGAGGATTCAGCCAATTAGAACGAAACGGATTAAAAGTATTACCTGATTGGTCGAATTCTAATCCTTGATTCACAATCATTAATCTTTAATGCTTAGTGTGATACCGGCATTAGTGTCTTGCAAACTCACTTCAAAGTGAGGTTATGAACCTGTGTTGATATGCGATAACTACTTACCAAAGCAAGTAGTGACGTCATTAATCTGAGTGTAAGATACTCAGCTCACTTCAGACTTAGTTTCATTTGTGTGTAAATAGAAAGAAACTATTGTTTCCCTTCTTTTTTCTTCTTCTTCTTCTTCTCTCTCTCTCTCTCTCTCTCTCTTATTTTTTCCATTATAAAAAATTTATAATACTTTATAAATTCGTTTCTTTAGTGGCATACCACAGCGATAAATAGAAACCAATCGAATGTACGTATCTTTTTGTTGTCTCAGTTTGAAGTGAGTAGATGCATTTATAGGTTTATATATACTTCTGATATAGTTACAACAAAGATATAAATCATGTTTTTGTCACATTTTTCTCTAAATTTGTCTCAATGCAGTATCATTGCACGATAAAATATTATATTTATAGTTTACATTATGTAACTTATTAAAAGTGATAGTCTTAATAAAATTCTTAGTTTTTACTGTCACAATTTTTCTTAGAATAAACAGAATAAAGACTTATTTCTGTTTATCTCTGATGAAGTATATAATATGTGGTAGATTTATTTCTATCGATTACTATATCTATAACATTAGAGACTACAATATCGTTAATAAATTATGTGTCACGTATTCAGAAATCAACAAGAACTTTCAAGAATCATAAATCTAGGTGGCCAAAGTCCAATAAATTTATAATAGACAAATAAAGGTAGAAACTTTGTAAATAGAAAATAAATTTAATAAAATCTTGATTTATTAAAATCTTGAATAAGTCATGAATAAAGTTATACATATATATATGAAAAGAATATATATTAGAATATATATTGGGTTGTTCGGAAAGAGAGTAATTTTGTTTTTTCCCAACAGAGGATTTAATTGTATTTTTCACAGCCAATTTCACACTTAAGCCGCATAATCATTATATATTTTGACAGCTGATATAGCAAGGCTTGCTTGTGAAAAAAGTTCGATTGATTCTACGCAGTAGTTTTTGGTTGGTGCCCTATCAAATATGAAAGTGAAAAGCAGCATTTTCGGCATATTTTACTTTTTTACTATCGAAAAGGTAAAAATACTGTTCAAGCAAGAAAAAAATTATCCGAAGTGTATGGAGAAGATGTATTGACAGAACGCCAGTGCCAAAACTGGTTTGCAAAATTTCGATCCGGCAATTTTGATGTTGAAGATGCACCACGTTGGTCTGGAAGGCCAGTTGAAGCTGATGAAGACACAATAAAGGCATTAATTGATGCAAATTAATTCGCATTCGGCGAATAACAACTCGTGAGATCGCTGAGAGATTAAATTTATCGAATTCGACTGTTTATGATCATTTGAAACTCGTCTGATTGAAAATCGTCTTTCATTTTCATAAGAAAAAACGAAATTACTTTCCGAATAACCTAATAGTATATTTAAATACTGGATACTGTACGTAATTTAACAATTTAACTGCCATGGCAACCACATCTAAATGTGGTGTGAATTTTTACGAAAGTTCTATCATTTATTTTTAAATAACATCTTTATTTATCAGATTAGAAATTATTATATTAACGTTGTAAATGAGAAATATCTAATTTGAAATCTTATTTGTATAAGACAACTTGTGAAAATTATGTATAAATATTTAATTTTATACGTTATGTGCATTTTAATTTTTAAAATATATATCATAATTATATTTAAGCTTTTTTTTACTAAATTTTTTTTAATTTTTAATAATTTATCTTTCCAAAAATTTTTTTTCGCTAAATTCGGCAAACTAATTTATAACAGTATTATATATTCTGCAGATTTATCAATTTTGTATAATATTAATATAAATAAAATGATATTATTCATAACGGATAACTACGATAACTGAGAATAAAAGCAACATTAATAATTGTTATTGTTTTGTTATTTACATTAATAATTTATTTAATAATTGAAAAAAGAGCATATATTTCGAAGAAATAATCTGTTTACTGTATTATTAGTGTTATTTTAAATTATAAATTTTGTAACATTAAATAGTATTTAATAAACAAATTAAATATCTCTTATTTCTTCAAATTTGCATTTATCCAAGACAGGAAACTGTCCACTCTTGTGTAAACATCTGGGTCTCCAGAACAGGCGACGGAAGCGATTCCAATTTGAACTTCATTAGCGACCAAAGGTGCACCAAGATCATTCTTAAATGAAAATGTAATTAATATGAAAATACTGATATATAAAATAATATATAAAACTATTATATACGGCAGTAATTAATTACTTATTATTACAAAATATTATTATAATTATTTAAATGGAAATAATTTAATGAGCATATAATTAGATCACTATTTAATATTATACTATTTTATAATATTAATATTTCTTTAGAAAATATATTGAAGATGTAAATATATTAATTTATGTTAAAGCAAAAATTCAATCAATATATAATTAGATTCTTTTAATATTATTTCTACTTTCATAAGTATAAATATAAAAAATTATAGCATAGTAAAGTAGAAGAAACATAAAATTTTTTTTATTTAGTTACGCTGTAACTTTTTTTTATTAATAAATATATAACATTTGCTTTTTATATTGTTATCCTTAATGTCTAGCGTTTTGATTAAAAAAAATTTTATTCATTTTATTTCTGTGAGATGTTTTTACGCAATATATATTTATGTGATAGATACGTATCAAATGATGTAGAATAGCAAAGGTTAGAATCATTTATATTATTAATGATGTTGTATTGATGTTGATGTTGTATCAAAAATATATATAATTGATTTGTTTTATTATATTAATAATCGACGGCTCACCTTATATTCATTTGTTCTATTTTGAGCTGTAGTGCAGATATGGCTATTTGTTAGTTCCCAGTGACTTTTTGCGCATTCTTTTTGCTTAGCAATTACCAACTCAGTTTGTTGCAAGTCTCCATTCTAGAAAGATAAATGCATTAATTGTTACATCGAGCATCGAATAACGAATAACAGTAGCAGAATTATTATTATTAAAATACCTTTCTTACACTTATTACTTCTAATTTATTGTTACATTTATATAAAAAGAAATAATAAATTACTTTAAGAAAGAGTTCTTTCCTGAAAATATAATTGGAAAATTTTTGTATCGTAAGTTTAACATTACTGTTGTATTTGTCCATCCGGATAACGTGCACGGTTTGCCTTCGAAATTTTTATTGT